CCCCCCCCCAAAGAAGATAATCAGTTTTGGGAGTTCCCGAAACGTCAAGCGGTGCTTCACTTGTTTGTCCTCATTGGACGCATAGCTACACAACAGCTGCCATCTTGTTGGGGGAAAGATTATTGTTAGTTTAGGAAGGTCTTAGACGCTCGCCACAGCATTTCGTCTGAAGTTCCTTTGTGGTTTTCGCAAAGTGGACGATTTGGACAGGCAGTTGTCGGCTGAATGTTCAAGACCGAGGGTTACATAACATACTTTGTCCGGTAAGAGAGAGTCTGTCATTAGAAATGGGTTTTTTCGTTCCTAGTTTTAGATAACAAGTACACTCGCAGTAACAAGAGGAACAATAGTGGAATAGCATACTGACGCGCATTCTTTTTCCTGATTTTGTGTTAACTTTTTACAGAGAGTCGCCCAAGACTCAAAATCCAAATTCATTTTGGCATCTCTTCATTTTTCAGACTAGATCTATATAATCTAGATCTAGATCTAGATCTAGATCTCCCGAATGCTAAGCAGTTCAAGTTGCTACCAGCACAGGACATTGAGTTAGAAATTCTAAATAACTAAATGGAGAAGAAGTAATATTGGTGTTTTGCTTACTGAAAAAGAAGACTGCGCTATTAGACATCGGTGCTTTGGCGATAGTTACATTATTGGCTTTGTAAAGAGGAAGCACCACTTTGAAAGACAATAATAATATTTTTGTACAAGCACAGGAAGATCAACGCCGGAAATATTATGGTCACAAGATCTGCACATCATTATTAAGAACATTATCTACATCGAGGTCTACGCGCAAGATCTGTGAACAGGATCTACGCGCACGATACAATCAAGATTTGCGTTAAGGTACAGTGTTCAGCCAAATCAAATACGCACAGGATTTACCCCCTCGTTCTCTCAAATAACCTCATAGTAGGGTTAGAAAGGCCAGTAAACATTATTGCGTATCAACGAAATAAGCCCAATAAGACGCACCGAACGCAGAAGATCAAATCCCCTCTAGGCTATAGAAATAGAAACCAAAATGAAGAATTTGGCCTTATCAAAGCTTGACGGGTTCGCGGTCAACCTCAAAGCCTACGACTCGGTGGTCATCGTGCTGCTGTTTCTGTCCGCCAACGTGACCTCCTTCTTCATCTCCCTGAACCACGCCCTGGCTATGCTGGCTGCCAGCCTGGTCATGATGTACCACATGGACCTGATGCCCTGGCTGGGGGCTCTGGTTGCCACCATCACGTGTGTGGTGATACTGGCCGCGGCCGACCCGGACGCCTTCTACGTTCTCTTGGTGCACGTTCTCTTCTTTGCCGTCAGCTGGTGGAGTACGTCATCATACTCGTAGAGATTCAGATTCATCAAATTATTTTTTTTCGCATTTTAAAACTGATGTTTATATTGGTATTCTCTTCTTGTTTTATGTTGTTTTTTTGTGGTTGCCTTCTTTTCTTTTCTTTTCTTTCTTTCTTTAAAAAAATGATGTTTTTGTAGCCGGGG